AATAGAGCAACACAACATGTTTCCATCAAAGCTGACCAGTATTTCCTCATCGTCTATTTTATTGATTTAGTCGTCTCACTAATTCAAATGAATCTACTACTCTAGCTTCTGAGTTCTCTCTTGTTGGTCTTAGTATTGTTGAGAGAAATCTTGACAGCATATACGTTGGTGTGTTTCTAGAGTCTACAATCTGTATTATCGGATATCCTTCTCTATGCATTTTTATGTTGCCATGTACCCCAGGTACATTATATGATTTCGGGATAATTTCAAACCATTTTGACTTACCAATTGCTTGTTTCAGATATCGAACCACCTTTGCTGTTTCTTGCATTGTTTTGTTTGTGATTGTTTCTGATGATTTGGTCCTTATGGTATGTATAGGGTCCAGATTGTAAATGTTCATTGATCTTTTGTGTGTATGTTGTTTTGTTACGTATTCCTGTTGTGTTTCCTTTGTCTGGTTGAGTAATGACAGTGGATTTGTCTGCTTTTATGTCTTGAAGTGCTTTTAGTTCCTCCTTCATTATATTTAGTTTTCTGCTTTTTGTTCTTGTTTATGATTAATGCACATTGTGCCCGTGGCGATTCTGCTTTCTGCTTGTCGCGTCCTTCTGGTGCTGTTTCAACCACCGGTATAATATCTTGAGGTTTAAATCTTTTGTTACTAATAGTGAAGTTCATACCTTTCACCAGTGCGCTTTCTTCTGCTTCTGTTAGCTTTCTGTCTGACAGGTTTACAGTCTACTTGGTTTTAGTTATTTGTCTGCCATTCGGGGTTATTGCTATCATGAATTTTGAATCCCTGTGGGTGCGTATTTCTGAAGAGTTCCAAACTAGGACGAAACAGCTGTCCAGTACTCCCAGGTTTTCCAATGGCTCTCTAACTAATGTCAGCTCATGATGAAATCCTGTAACCGATCAAATCCCTACAAACCAACACTGGAACATTAATTTTTTGATTTGTTTCTTTTTTGTTTCTTCATAGGTAGTTTCTTTTCGTTTTAGTGCAACTTGCAGTATGCTTTCATACTTTTCCTTCTCAATTGCTCCTCTCAATTTTTCTTTTGCTTCATTGATATCTTTCCTTATTGTAAATAACTTTCATATAATACCACGCTGCACTTGCTTTATCAGTTATTTCGTGAGTTACAATTATTCGAAAATACACAAATAAAGCCGTACAGAGTTGAAGTAATGAAGTAGTTCCTTTGACCTGCAATTGCTCACTCCACTCAAGGGTGTGCCAACGGTCAGAGGGGTGCTTGCGAAAAGAAGAGGAGGTTGAAACAAAAGATCCAAAATGTAGATATACGGATCAGGTAATGGACAGCTATGATTGACAATATAGGGAAGCAAACAGCTGGTGAAGGGAATCTGTATCATCCATAGTGTACGGTGAAAAAGATGGAGTCCTCACTCAATATATCAACTAACAACCATGATGTGCAGTGAATTCATTATTTTTGCTATTTTACAATGAATGTATAATTTCATAATTTTCGGCCTCTACACATGGTAGTATCTGGTGAATGATATCATCTTCCTTTATTGGATCTATCAGATCTTTAAGCCGACCAAATTTATCTATGAGACAGTTGATTAGTTTAAATGCCACCCTAATTCCAGCCTTATTAAGAAGACTGAGGTGTTTGATGTTCTTTCTTCAATACTGCAGTACTACAGAGGATTTGAATTCCATACTACTTAGGTTATTTTAATCATTTCCATTACTACCTTTATTTTTTCTTCAGTGGGTCTTCATACATTTCTGAATAAATCCTGGTGGGTGTTTATTTACCAGTCATATTTTCCTTATTTGTTTGATTTCATTATTTAAATCCTTTGGCTTACTAGTTAGGTTCCTAACCCGATTATGCAGACATTAAACTAAACCTATATTTGCGAATTCCTGATGGGATGAATAAAAATTCTAAGTATTTATTAGAGTGTGCTCTTTTCTTAAAAGTCATAGTATCTAGCCTACCACCTTGTTTTCTTATTATTTTACGGTCGTGAATAGCCAGCTAACCTCGTTCATTTCCCACCTCAGAAGTGACTTAAATTCCGTCTACTACTGAGTTTATATGTCTGCAAAACTGAGGGATTTGTTCGGATTTCAACACAGTGAATGTGTCATCCACATATTCCAACCATAACTTAGGAGCAGGTTTAAACGTTTTAAGAGCCTTGTGTTCCCAACTATCCATAAATTGGTCTGCTGTTATTGGGGGTATAGTGATCCCATTACCACCCTATTCGTTTATTTATATTAGTTTATTTTGAAATTTGAATACAGTGGAGGCTGGGCATAACTGAAAACCTAATATTATTTCATAAACCAAGAGTCTAATTCTACTTTTGAATTCATGATCAACGTTCGGTTCATTCCTAGCAATCTTCAAAGCTGTATTCATTAAGATATTGATGTAAAAAGTGGTTATATCGAAACCAATTATTGATTTTACCATCCTTATGCATTCATGAATGGTGATCTATACTCGCGCGTATTTTCAAATAAGTCTGAACCTTCTACTATGGATTTTTTAATTGACATAGCGGATGATCATTGCGAAATGTTAAATCATTCTTCGGATGGAACAACGGCAACAGTAAGGAATAGACACCAACTTAAGACGACCTTGAAACAACCACTCAGATTCTTTCGGTTAAAAAGTGGCATATAATTATTAAAAAAGCGTATTTACCATATATATGTAGTAAAAATGAATTATACAGGATAAATGTCTCTAATATGCTGCAGAAGCTGGTCTTAGTTTCGCACAGGAGTGGTTATAGACATATTAAACCAATGTCGGTACAAAAACTCATCTAAATTTGCATCGGCGGCACAGCGGTTAGGACGCTTGTCGACCATGCACATGGTCCAGGATTCGATCCCCTGCAGACGCACACCTGATATCAATAGTGGGTCTGCAAAATTTGGGCTACCGACATCACATGCTGAAAATTCCATACTTGTACCAAAAATACAGTGTGGAATCAAGCTATAAGTAAAAAATAAATAAATGGCTAAATACCATATCATTTCTGGAACCGTTTGCCATTCTGGTACGTTTCTTGAGGTGAGCCCAGGGTCCTTCAATGGAATATGTATGGAATGGTTGACAGAAACCGTGTTGTTCTCCGATTTTCGGAATACGGTCATTGAGAAATACAGTTAGAAAATAAGTATCACGCTGTCTCATTAGTCTGTTAGTCAGATAAAAACAAATCATATTTGACATGTTGGGCGTCAGCCAGTCAGAATCTAGTCTGCAGTTGGTGCCTACCAATAGAACCTTGTGACTGGATCAGTATGTGTCATATGCTATTGTACTCTTCGTCACTTTCATACTTGTCGTGAAAACACACATTTCTAACCCTACCATGTGTCTTCTGGACTGTACTAGTTCTGACTAGGGAATAATCGATCAGGAAATTATCAATCGTTCAGATCATTGATTAGCATTCGTACTCACAGTTGGCGACATTATAACATATTCACACTAAAATATGTGACCTAATTGATCTCACAAATGTAAACCGAGAAAGTAAGTATACAATCAGTAAGCTACATACTACTGATTGGTTGATATGAGTAGTTGGGTACCACTTGTTCACATCAACCAGCAGTAGTACAACAACAGAATACAAGGGCCAGGCAACAGATCGTTTATTGAGAAAATCAACAGAGATTTATAGATTTTTGTTTATATTATTATTCGTTATTACTAGCAGAGAAACAGCGTCTTCTGATTGGTTGTTTTCTCGATGAAAGTTATTCTGTCACCTCTTTGTGGCTGTTTCTTCGAAGGTCAGACCATATATCTACGAATCGTATCCACGCACGTAAAGTCTACTGTGTTTGGTTGTTGAGTTAGTCTTTGTTCTTGTTTTCCTTTTTCATGATTTGGGAGGTAAACATTGACGTCAATTACTGTCTACCAACTTTGGCTAGCAGCCAGCTCTCACCACACTATTGTGCTGAAAGCTGGCTGCTAGCCAAAGTTGGTAGACAGTAATTGACGTCATCGTTTATGTCCCCGATATTGGTGGTGAGAAAATGAGAACAAAGGCTTTGCGTAGGCGGATACAGTTAGCATATGGATGATCTGACACAGCCACAAAGAGATGCAAGGTTAACTTTTTGTGAGAAATAACCAATCAAAAGACTGTATTTTCTACTAACAATAATCTACAATAATGTACGTTAAAATCTATAAATATGTGTTGATTTTCCTTAATAAACGATCTGTTGCCCGGCCCTTGTCTTCTGTTGTTACAGTAGTACTGCATAAATTGCAAATTGTGAACTTTACTTTATGTATTACCAATATGCCCAAGTAACTAGTCAGGTAGAATTCAGGTGATTTGAACTAATCTGGCTGTTTGAAGTGAGTCCGACCTGGAACACTACTGACGAGTTCGGCTTGAGATGAGCGAAACTGCTGTTCCATCTTTTGATCACTTCACTCATGCTGGCTGGCTGACAAGCACTACTGGTAGATGTGAGTGAATGACATCCAACTAGTCGTAAAAATCAATTAATCAGTAGTATACGGCATGATGCGTCTATTAAAGTTATCTTTATTTGCCTAAAATTTCTTCAATTTTCCATTGTTACATACAACACTATTCAAAGGAGATGTTTATTTCAAATTCATTAAATACTCAACATTTTCAAACATTTTAAACAATAATACTAACAACAATAACAATAATAGTGATAATAACGAGAAACAACAAATAACAAATACATGTATGCTTTGTTTAAATTAGCAATATACAATTTAAACAATAAAAATTTAAACAATTTTCAAAGATCAACTTGTGTTCAATGTACAATAGACCAGTTTTAAATAGTTTAAATATGCAACATTCAAGTGTTAAATGATAAACAAATCGAAATAAGAACGTATATAAATTTGTATGCTTATTTATTTTCTCGAGATGACGAAAGTTTTCAATAAAAATGTATTATAATTCTTAGAAATAAAGTATCATCTTCTTGTGGAAAAACATCCACAAATTTTTCCTGATTTTTTATAACATAATTGTTTTTTCAATAATCCTTTTTCTTTATCTCCTCCAATAATACTAAATTTGTCAAATGAAGCATAGAAATTTTGATCTGTAAATAAGAAAGAAAAGAGGGAAAGGTTGTTTTGAAAGGAAAACGATTTAACTTTCAGAAATTGATAGGAAAAGATCTGTGAAAACATGGTTGATGGTGGCTAGAGGAGGAATATAGGCTGCACATTTCCTCCCATTAAGAATTCGTTAGCATCTCCAGTGAGTGATAGTGTGTATTCCCCATGGGACTTATATCATCTATAATATCAAACTTCTGTCCTTATAGGCCACGAGATTCACCAATTGTGTAACGGGTATCAATTATTATTTGTTGTAGTTTATCCCATGCTTACCATTGGTTAATTTGTATTGGACAGAAACGATCGATATCTGTCGATGTGATGAAATGCGTTTCCTGTATTTCACTGCTGCGCATCATCATTTACGAGCTCACCTTGTTACCAGGAGGTACTGGTTTCGAGCCCTGGCAGTGGGTGCGTACTGATGAAGAGTCCCAAACTAGGACGGAAGAAACAGCTGTCCAGTACTCCCAGGTTTTCCAATGGCTCTCTAACCGATATCAGCTTATGATGAAATCCACCAATCAATGGAACAAAATGCTTAAAAATCCACTACTTGAATATAACGTTAGGATAACCTTAAGACATCGTTATTCTCCGTAGTAGGAGGCAACATGTTAACTAAAAATAAACCAGTGACTGATAGGGTTCTGATTCGGTAGTGGCTCTCGTTGGCCGGTGGGTGACGCTTTGGCATTCCAAAGGATGGCAGGTGGATTAAAGTTTCAATGGGAATGCCATCAGTCACTGGGGGGGGTGCAGGTATATCTAAGTGAAGAGTCCTGAACAGGACGAAATATGCATTGTGGATCCCATTGCTAGTTACCATCAACGAGAAAACTTCGTGTTTAGATACCAATAAATAGAGGTTTATTGTTATCATTATTATTATTATCCACTAAGGCTCCGAGGCGAACATAGGGCTTCACAAGAACGGCTCCACTTCATCCTGTTCTCTGGATTATTTTTACCTGCCTTCAAGATTTCTCATGCGGTCTCATCTCCTCCTCATATGACCTGCTTCATAACACTCTCGGAACCACACACAACTCATTGTTTCTCATCTGGGTCCAACTGGAGAGCTGGAATGGCTCTCGTTGTCAGATCAATCTCCATTTCCTCCAGCATATTTGTTGGGTGATAGACAGTCTGAAGCAGGATGTTGGAAATGCATTTGCTGACACGTCAAGTATATACATCTTATAGAATCACTCAATGGCTTAACACTGGTGTTGAAAATCCGAATCTTGTTATTTATGCTGAGTAGTAGTAGTGAAGTAGATTTCCACACTGTTTTTTATTCGTTCACGCTCCCAGTGGAACATAGGGCTTCAAGCTGGAGGCTTGAAGTTTCTGTAGCAGAGTTTAGTTTTGCAGGATGGGGTTGCTAGCCTCATGTTCAACCTTTCCTCTTTACCAGCTTTATTTCTGGTTTAGCGAGGCAAAGGAGTGAGTGGGTGGGGATCAAACCCAGGACCATGTGCATGGTCAACGAGCATCCTAACCGCTGTGCCACCGATGCACTGGCACACACACACACTGGTTTCAGAGTAACGAAGGTCTGTCTTGCCTATCCGACCCTAACTTCGAACATATAGAAGTCATTGGGTAAAAATCATAAAACTAATCAATGAGGTCTTTCATTTTTATTTTGAGCTAAGTGAGAAGGTGTAAACTGTCTAAGTGAGTTTTTCGGCGTTTAAGAATCGCTGGTTGGAGATTTTGGGTAACATGGATCTGAATCGTTTTCATTGGTGTACATAGCTTCACTCATTGTTTTCATTCAGACTCTGAAAATGCTCAGTAATCCTACACTTCTGTCTACTCTTGACCCGATAACTTTTTGTTTTCCTCATTATCCTTTTGTGATCTTTCTGGATTGTGATAAGATGAACCGGAGCACTTTGTATGCAATTCTACACTGATAAGTCAAGTAGTCAAACATACTAGCAGAATTCCTTGGGTTCCAAGTGGAATATAGGGTTTCAGGAGCATGTCCCCATTACACTCAATTTTCTGTTATCCCTTTCAATTGGCCCTACGATTTTTCATAAGCTCTTCTTTTGTCCTACCCAATTTTACCCTTGGAAGCACAACTTGTAGTTTCTCAGTCGGGTCCCACCGGACGACCAGCCACGTAATGTCACTCAAGTGTCTCCTCCTTGTATGTCCAATCTGTCTCCATTTCGCTCTTCGTGTTTGTTTGATGATATCTTTCTGATTAGTTTGTTGCCAGTGTTTCTTCTTGCTTTTTCTTTCTGGCCATCTAATCTTCACTATCGAACGGAGAGGGTAGCTGCCTATGAAACTTTGTACCCAATTGGTTATACTGGCAAAATGCCAGTAAATTTTTCGTTACCGTTGAATACCATTTGAAGAAATAAGATTTAGATTTAGTGCGTGACAATCGAAGGTGAAGTGAACTATCTACGCCACTAAGGGTTCACACCAGAGATTGATGAATTACTAGTCAGATAATCTATAAGCTGTGCTACTAGTCTAAACTGTTGGTATGGCCATCATTTCAAAGCGATCCCTACAGGTAATACCCAAATGTCATGTGAATGGCATGTACCCAAGACCCCACCAGAGGTTAGATCCAGGAATTTATGAGGCAAAGCTCGTCGATCATTCAGCTACTTCTAAGTTCTGGCTACTGGTAATGCCTCTGATGCGTTTCCACTACACTTTGACATTGTGGACTCATATGGCGAAAAATTCTCATTTCAACTTCTAGATATCCATTTAGTAGCTGCGAATGAACTGGAGATTGATTTTGTATATTTTGTAGAAATCTCAATTAGTTCTAATATAGATCTCGTCGCGAACGAATACCTGAGTTAAGGAGTCATTAAAAACAAAATGTAGAAGAATACAACTGTCCAATGTTCTTTTGGTAGCTCTAAATAAACTTCTAACTGACGTGCCAGTTAGCGACGTAATTTACTCTGAAATATATCAAAAAATCACTATGAAATCTAAAATCTGAATTTACATGTTATCTGAAATAATAAGCAACTTGATAAATACATGGTGAAAATTTAAAATTTTATAGAACATACTACTTAAGTAGTCAAAGTGAATAAAGTAAAATGTAAAGTTCACTCTACATACTTGTATTTTCTAATTCAGGAAAATGAAAAAAATATCATTTTTATTCATCTGTGCATCAGTGATTCATCAGTAGAATGCTCGTAGGGCTTTGTCTCACTGGTCTCAACACCACGACTTCCAACTAAGTAGTATCAATAGCCAGCACACCATCAATGTGGCTGATTGCTAACTGTATGAAATTGCTAGTGGTCATTAACATGGATAACTAGAATGTTTTTCAACCATGTGGGAGGTTGATCGATGTGATTTGAGTTCGCCGCCAGTTCTAGCCTAGCTTAACAGACGATGACAGGCAGACATAGGAAGGAAGGTTGGATATGAAGGTTCCTAAAAGCCTTACATTATTTAAATTAAACAATACCATCGTTAGTGAAATTTCAGAGCTTATGACACGGAGGCCTATCTGAAACTTGAAACTGAAAGGAATGAGAAAAAGAGGCCAGCTATACAAACTGGATTCTTATTAGTACTATTGCCCTTGCGTTTGATGTTTCTAACTACATAAGCTCTTGGGTTGGGATCTCAGTGAGGATGTCAGTTCCTTAAAGGTTAACTTAAAAATTCCCATTGAGTCATGTAAAAAAAGGCGTTCGGCGATATCATTCTCAAGCTGTACAGTCAAGTATGTATATTTCAAAGTTTTGTCAATAGAATATTAAATTTTAGATACCAAATTTCCTCAATTGGGAATTCACATATTAAAACCCGAACTCTGCCATACTAAAGAAGTTTGTTTAGTCATTAGATGTATATGGGACCTGATTTATTTTAACACCAAATACGTAATTTGCGTTTCGTCTTCTTTTGCACGTTTGCTTCTTAATTGTAAAATATTTTCCTCCCCCACCTCTTACTAATCCTCTACACTTTACTACCAATGTTATCAACTTGACTTTTGTTCAATTTTAATTTTATCTGAGCTCTACTGAACTCCGTCAATTAGATTATACCATTCAACTTGCTTATTTAATCTTACTTTAGTTTCCTACCAATTAAAGAAATTTGTTACCTAGAATTTACAATTCTAATTATTTTATTTTCTACTTGATTAACGCTTACTACCTTACGCAATCTATTGCTCAAAATTCGCAATCCTTAAAGGTTGTAGATACGCCTTGCTGACGACTGTTAGCAAGTGTGGAAGCCAGCTCCTGCCCTGCTTTGCAAACCCTCTCAGACTGAGTTACATTTTTGCGTTATCATTTAAATATTATTTACTTCACTTATATTATTATTGTCTCTTTTAGTTCGTGGAGGAACATAGGGCTTCAGCCACACGTCTCCATTGCGTTCTGTTGACCGCCATCGTTTTCGCCTGGCTCCACGTCTGCTCACACGCTTTCATCTCCCCTTCGCATGACCTCCTCCATGTCACCCTCGCATTATCGATCAACTCGCCGCTTCCCATTCCGGTGCCACTCGAGAGACCGACACGTGATGTCACTTGATGGTTTGTTTTCTCAGGGTATGGCCAACCCATCGTAATTAATTACTTTATCATTATATAAATTTATCTGAGAAGAGCATACACTGATACGGTCTTATTTACTGATAACATTTTGAGCACAGTTTATTTTTGATTGCACACTAGTCAGTAACTAGTGTGATGTGTCTAGTCCTATCTTCGGTGCAGACTGAATTCTATCAGTCATGTTTGCAATGTGGAGCAGAGTTTGTTACTCATAATAATACTAAAGTGCACATTCAAGTAACCTCATAGTTTCGTGTATATAATCCCATTACTTCTTATCCTTTGATTTTATTGGTAGTATTTTTCATATCTCTGGTAGTAGCGTTGCCTCATTCTTACTGCAGTGTGTTAGGTGTGTAGATTCCATGAACAGACATTTGGTAATCAACCTCT